GTTCCTGAACGGGAGTTTTCTGGGGAAGTCAATGTTACCAAAAACTGGATGGGGGAGAGGTGAAAAGGAAAAAATGTGAAAGCTGACTGGCCAAGTTATGGTCATTTCCGGGTGACTTGCTTCCTCAAAGGTCACCCCGTGAACGTTCATTCTTCCTCCAGCTTGTACTGATTATCTCAAGAGAAGGCCGATGTTGATAAAGGGAGACACAATAAAATAAACTCTGTTATCCAGGTTCTCCCTTGGGTGTTACCACTCTAACATAGCACATACCAAAATTCTGTTTCATCCACCGTAGGTGAAACAAAAAAGGTGAGCAAGTTTCTTTGAAAATGAATCAAAACAGCCCAAATGTAAGGAATAAAATTGCCTAACTAGATCTTTACACACCCACTGAGCAATAAGCTATCATACACTACACTTTTCAAAGGTGTTATACCTTTTGCCACAATTCAAGATGTAGAAATTATGGCCTGTTTTTCTGACTTATCAGCCTACTACTTTTTATCAGCTCAGTGTGATACAGTTCAGTTCCATATAAGACTACACACAGGCAAAGGGAGAGAGGGAAGGAGAAAGGGAAAAGGAGAAAGGAAGAAACAGAAAGAGAGGGAATGGCAGAGAGAACTCATGTGTGTGAAAAAAGGAGACTGACCCACAGTCAGCAAATGCCAGGTATTTGGTTTTTAAATTTTAAGTCAGAATTTCTTAAAAGTGGTTTCTTTTAAAATTACAATTGAGGCTGCAAAAGAACACTGTGGTGGGAAGCACTTAAGAATAAAGCACTTCATAGTCCTCGTTCTTAAACAATAACTGATAAAAATCATAATACAGATTTTACTTTCCTAAAAAATTAAATTTAAAAAGATTTTTTAAATTAGAACTTGCTAGTAAAGAATTAAGGCAATTCCCATCATTAGCTAAGACAGTACTTGAAAGCAAAAATTGTGGCCATTTTACAATACATAGCATCGAAGAATGTTGAATTAACTCACTACACACATTGCTTTTAAACTATTTCATAATCTATGCCACAGTAATTAATGAGATTAATGAGATCAGAGTTTAAATGTACTAAAAGTAGCTCAGATTAATTTCAAATGTATCATAAGGAACACATGAATAAAGAACATTTTCTATTCCTGAGTTCTCAAAGTTTGCTGCTTTCATGGATAGCCTGTATTCCACACACCTAATATTTACTATAAAGACTCAGAATATCTGTGGGTGGGAAAACAATTTGCAGTGGGTATATCATGTGGGAATCCACACTGCCAAAGACCCCTATTCATACCTGCATATGCTACACAAAAATGCAAAACACTCTGATGGAGGAGGTGCTTTAAGATTTTGTACTCACATACAACCAATATAAATCTCTCTTTTGCATATTACTTAGTTTCTTACAGGACTGAAAGAAAAATATCAGAAGTTGCTTCTAATGAACATAAATTTTTGGATGTTTCATGTTCTCAGAGCTGAAGGACTTCTGTTGTTCAAGACACTAGTTGCTGCTTTTAGGAGAGTGGGCAAAATAGGGAGATATTTTGACGGGGTTTCTTGGTGATTCCTCAAACCTCACTGTTTTTCCAGTCCCTGAAACTTGATTAAATGCATTAAAAGCCTGTAAGGCATTCCAAGCAGTAGCACAACTTATCTGAAAAAATGGGGTATTTGTAGCATTAATAATAGTTCACCCCTTTGCAGAATGAACTCCAAGGCCTCAGGGAGAAGTTGGCCCTGATGTCATGGCATTGAGAAATGCAGTTCATTAAGATCTTAAGCAACAAACAACAGCAACAATTAGCTGCTATACTCAGCCTTGATTTATCACTAAGAAACACAGACTCTACAAACGGAAAGGGCCTAAAGTGTCAACTAGCACATCCTTTTGCCAATTCATGATTGGCCCTCATGCTTTTCCAGTGCTTTGCCAGTCTATGTTTCCAAGAAGCTCGAGAAGTGCTGTAGTACATCCTCTTGTGAGGATATTCAAGTGTAGAGAATCATCAATTCCACTTTAACTTTTCATAGTCTTTTGGTTAAGTATGCATTTCTCAGTTCTGATCCCTTTCCTCTGAGGTTTACCTGTGCAGTCCCTGACAAACAATTCTCTCTTTCATATGTGTGCATATTTCATAGCATTTATGTTACCACATCTTCGCTTTTAGACATTAATTACCCTACACATATACACATTTTTCTTCCTGTATCCAACTCCTTAAAAACATTCACTGCTCATAAGAATGCCCTCCAGTTTGGGTATATACTTCCACCAGCTACTTCCCAGTAAAAAAAGCACTAAGAATTTGCTTTATCCATCATGAACACATACTGAAAACTGAACAAGGAAAATCCAAAAACTTACTCTCCAAAATCATAAGAGCTCTGAAACAAATGAATGACTGATCAGAATGTTTCAGCTGGAATTTAGATGCCATGAGCTATTCTAGTTGTTTAATGCTAAGGGTATAGCATTGGTCTCACTATAAGCTTTCTGCCATCCTGCTGATCTTCAAGTTTCCTTGTTAAACTGAACAAAAAGAGCAATGCATTGCTTTATATTGTTTAGGCTATGGAAGTGTACGTATATATGTGTATATAATAAATTAATTTGATGATGCAATATATTGAATGCTGATATTAAATAATTTTTTAAATCTCCTCTAATTTCTGCCATTTTTTTTACTTTTTTCTTCTTAGATAGCTTGTGAACTTTTCTATTTGCCTTATTGTCCTTTAAAGATTGTTTAATTTTCAATCTGCTTTTGTTTCTCTATTTTTATCTTAAACTGAATGAACTCAGAATAAATCAATCCAAGGTTAATTTCTAAATGCACCTTGCCTGTATCTTCATTAATTAACAAAACCATATTTTAAACAGCATCTTTAATCCCTAAAGTATCCCTGAACAGACAGGTCAGGGATTATCTAGAGAAAACATTTATTGGCTAACATACCTCATCTGTGCCTCCTATATTAGATTTTCTGTAATGACTCAGCTCCAAGTAGTATTTCTCTTTCTGATGGCATAACGGAAATGTATACATATCTAAATCTGACTCTGGGGCTCTATGGTGGACTCCCAAATGCATTCTAGAATACATTACTTTAAAGTTCCCCCAGTGCAACTCTGATCCTTAATTGTTACTGTTTTAACCAGGTTATCCCCAAGTCTCTTTTTTAAATTCTGTGACACTAAAGTATCTAGCTACCCCACATCTTTTGCCTTCCTTTTCTGAAGGTATCTAGTTTTGAGCACCTTTTTAATCCTTGTTTTATTTTAATAATTTCAATTTTTTAATACAAACACGTTTTGTAATGCAGCTGTCATCCCTCTATAATTCCCACCTCCTTGCAATAGCTGGCAGCAGCAGTTTAATTTATCCCACTTGGTTCACAGAAGTCCTGGTATTTTCATACAAACATTTCAGTTCTTTGTTTTACTAATAACTTATTCAGTTGCTAGTTTAGGAACAGTCCTTTCACTAATTACACACCCTAGCTGAATACTATCCCTCCGCCTGTCCACAGATATTCCTTTATCTTTTGCAATGCCTTCATGTATTTAACTGCCCTCCTCCTGTGTACTAAAGCCAGACAAGAAGATTACAGTCACTTCCAACTGTCTTCCCTTATTTCTCAGTTTAAGGCTCTTATCTTTTGTTTCAGCCCCACTCCTAGGAAGCCATTTTCCCAGATATTCTGGTAGACTTCCAGGAAAACCAGATTTCATTGAACAGGAAAAATCAAACTGTCAGCACTCGAAATTTGAAGAAATGGCTGCATTTCAAATATAGTAAATATTAACTCGAATTCCATCCAAGTGCTAAAATTTCCTTTGTTTTTCTTACAAAGGTAACAGTAATAGTACTTAATTGACTTCCAGACGAGCATAAATAAACATAGAATGAGTTGTAAGAGGTGTAGGTTCATTACTTTTCTTTAAAAATCATTTCTTCCATATGTTAGAATAGACATACAATTTGCAATTTGCTATTCTAACTAATAATTGAATAACAACAACACGGTTTGTCGAAACACACTTCTGAGACTGCTGGAATAATTATGCAAGCAGGAACTCTGGATTAAAAATAAATTAATACATTTACATCTTCTTCTTTTGTCAAGCTAAGTAAAAATTATAATGGTAATATGACCTTGACTTTAGCATTTCCTAGGATGAGTGGCAGAATCAAAAGAGATGAGAGATATATTCTCTTCAAAGTATTTTTTTTAAAAGAGCAATTAATGGTATACTGCAGTCTTTGCCTACCTTCTTACTAGAAAATGAGAATCAAGAACAGACCATATTATTAAAAATATTATTAGATTTTGTTTTCTTTCTGATAAGGTCCCATGTCTACAAACAATAATCCTTTGTATTTAACAATAGGTAAGAAATAACAACAGCAAAATCACCCTGCTCTCCGGCTGTTTCTGTAGATCCTGTAGAAGTTGTTTTAATCTAATGCGTATTGTTGCATAATATCCCCAGGCACATTCAAGTAAAAGCTAAAGCTGTACAGAAAAGCCAACATTTTAAATGGGTCTTGTCATTAATGCTTTATTAATTGCCCCAGGCAATGCAAACCCAGAGCTAGGCAAGCTATAACAATATGACACTTTAAGG